GATGCGCTGGGCCCGGCAGCCCCCGCAGGGTCAGGGGGCCCCGATCTTCCTGGGGAGCGGGTACGATGGGACCTCGCCCGCAGGGGAACTCACCATGGAAGTGTACCTGGCCTCCCGCTCCAGCACCCTCTCCCGGGACGGTGCCAGGCTGCAGGATGCTGGCATCTACTACTGCGCCACAGAGGACACAGTGACAGGGGTGGAGGCACCAGCTGCATCAAAACCCCCGGCCCGACTTCCTGCCCCGTGCACCCAGGGCACATGCAGTTGGCTGCTGCCCTGACTCCCCTCCCACATGCCCACTCCTCACCCCCTCCAGGGGCACCGTGGGTCCTGCAGAAGGGGCTCCTCCAGCCCCAGCTCCACCTGACACCCACCTGTGCCCAGCAGCTGGCTCAGGGGTCTCAGCCGCTTGCAAGAGGAGTGGGTGCGCAGGCTCAGACCGCTCCCTCTAGAGAAGTGTTTCTCCAATACGCTAGGCTGCAGGGCCCCTCAGAAATGGCCGGGTCTGAGCTTCTACTTGTTATTTTCCCTCCAGAAAAGGACAAGAGCAGTTCTCTTGTGGTGAGGTATGGAGGGTGGCGAGGTATGGAGGGAGCACAGCAGGATGGGATGTTTTTCACACCATGGCTTTCATTTGGAAATCTCTGAGTTTGCTTGTGGGTCATGGTTGTGCAGATAACAGTGCTGCCCTTGTAGGGTACCCTTGCTACAAGCTCAAGGGAAGCAGGATACTGGGGCATGTTGTTGGGAACCACAGCTCTGGAGCGGGGAGGCCCAACCCGGAGTTGGTCCCAAGGTTTGCCCCACTGCCCCCACTCCTGAATCACCGCTGCCCTGACTCCCCTCCCAGATGGCCCTCTGCTTTCTTAGGGGCTGGTCTTCAGGATCTTCAAAGTCCCTTCCAGCCCTAATGTCTATGAAATCAGAGAAGGAGTCCTACCAGGGGGAAAAGGAGTCCCAAAGGTCTTTGTGCAGCTGTTTGGCCTGTGAAGCCAGTGGGGTGAAGTGTCCCAGGGGTAAGGGCTGGGGAGTGGACAGTAGTCACCTGAAGCACAGGTGATGTCCAGACCAAGCTCCCAAGGAGTATGGGTGGATCTAAAAGGGTCCAACATCAGAGCTGGAGTCAGAAGCACCAGCCAGAGTCAGGGCATCAGAGAATAACAGAAACACAGAACCAGCCAGGAGCCAAGACAAGTCAGGAGTCCGGCCGCAAGCAGGATTCAAAAGCCAGAGTCAGGACTGCTATCAGGAGGCATGAGACAATGCCAAAAACACACAGAGATCAGGAGCATGTACCTTAGTCTTTGCCCAGACAAGGACACCACAGGCCAGGCCCGGAGCAGATGGAGCCAGCTCTGATTGCCCCGTGCAACCCAGCTGGGACCAGGGCACTGCTCAGTCAATCAGCTTAGTCATTAATCAATAAGCTTACCTTTAAGTCATAAGCAGTATCCTGGCACAATAGAATAATTTTCTGTGTTAAGTCCACTAACATTAACTAATAATATGATCAAGTGTGAATAACTGCTTCTGGGGAAGGAGTTTATCAGTAATCGAACTTAACAACTGATGTTTTCGGCTCTGGATAAGAATTGAGCTGTATGTAGTCAGCTAGAATCCTATTGAAATAACCAGGGTCTTTTCGAATCTATTGCAGCCCCAGCTGTTTTCAGGAAACTTATGCTCAGCTGCAGAACTGTGGTGAAAACAGGTCCCAAAGCCTGTGGGCAGCTTCCCTTGTCAGCAAAGTAAAAGAAACAGGATGGGGCTAGTAGCCTTCCCACATGGGGAGGGAAATAGATAAGCAGTCCTCTCTCCCAGGACTGTGATATACCCAAGGCCACAGACCCCAGCTCAATGGCACCTTCCAAGTTCCCAAATTCTCAGGAGAACAAAGATGTTAGAATAACACCAATCAGACTATTTGGTAATAAACCACATACAAATACTGGATATAAACAAGGTGGGGCTTGGAGAGACCTCAGCAAATTCAACACAACCTGCTGTCACGATACATACCACCCTCCTCCTCCCTCTCATGTCTCCCTAGCCCATATAGATGTGAATCCGTACTGAGCAGTTGCTAGATGAGCAAAGAGACAAACGCTTCTTCTTGTGCTTTGGCTACAAGTGATAAGAAGTTGGATTGTAGCCCTGTCGCTTTCCTCTTAATCTGACTAGAGGGATAGTCAGCACTTACCTGCAAAGAGGGAACAGCTGAGCATTGCGAAGGGTGACTGAATCATGAGTTGGTGCATGAACATTGTAGCTGTCCTTTAATCCTGTGTCTAAGCTTGCAGAAGGGTCCTGAACGCAGATGGGCTGTAGTCGCAGTCCCTGAAAGCCTGAATGAACATGGGTGTTTGGTGACACCAGAAGAGAGTGGGAATCCCCGGTGCCACCGCTAGAGGGACCCCCGAGGCCCTGGGATGGGAGGCTGCTTGGAGGCAGAAGCGGGAGGTGGGATGAAGGCTGCTCAGAGCCCCAGCCCCTGGATGCAGACACGCTGCTGTTGTGCTGAGGGCAGGATGGCCTTGCTTCTGCTGGCCTGCTTGGCTGGATTTGCCGGGCTTGGTGAGGGGCAAGCAGAGCCGAGGGGGAACTGTCATGTCAGCAAGGCGCAAAGGGAGAGCTCAGTGATTGGATCAAGGGACCACTGGGGTCACCAGGCTGAAGGTGGCAGGCAGGAAAGGGCAGGAGGACAGGGGAATGCAGGAGGGGTTTGAAGAAAGAGCAAGACAAGGCTGCAGGACGGGCAGCATGCAGGGGCATCAGTCTGCAGAGAGAAGCAGCTATGTGAATAAATGAAAGGGGGGTGGGGGGACATGGACAACCAGACACATGAGCTAGTGCAGAAGGGCTGATGCAGACACACGGATAAGACAGCACAGGGAAGAGGGTACTGATGCATGGATGCACCACACTGTGCTGAACAAATGGATGAACAGTGAGACAGGACTCAGGGAGAGACAGACAGGAGAGCAGTCTTACATGAGATCTCTGCCTTTCCAGCCCGTGCTCAGCAGGACTCCATCACCCAGTCCCCCTCGGCGTTGGTGATCCCAGCAGGGCACACGGCCACCTTGTCCTGCAGTTTCTCCACCAGTGACATCTACCCATACCTCTTCTGGTACCGGCAGCACCCGAACCAGCCCCTGGAGATGCTCCAAACCGGTCCCTGGAGATGCTGATGCAGCTCCACAAAGCTGAGTGGAAGAAGCAAACAGGTCGGCTCTCCGCGGAGCTGCACGTTGGGAACTCCTCGGGGCGGCTGGCGATCCAGGGCACCACGCTGCAGGACAGTGCTGGGTATCTCTGCGCGCTGAGTGACACAGAGGGCCCTGGCTGCTGCTGCACCGTACAGAAAGGTGTGGGCGGCTCTGTGGTGGGCACATGCCCCTCCTTCCTCTGCACTGCATAGTATGGGAAGGAATAAGCATGGGTGAGGGTAGTATAACTGCCTGGGTGGGGTTTGGAGAGACCACAGCAAATTCAAGATACCATGCTGCCACTCAGCATACCACCGTCCTCCCTCTAGTGTCTCCCTAGCCCATATAGATGTGAATCTGTATTAAGCTGTTGCTAGATGGGTAAAGGGGCCAATGCTTCTTCCTGTGCTTTGGCTACAAGTGATAGAAAGTTGGATTGTAGCCCTGTTGCTTTCCTCTTGACCTGACTTGAGGGATAGTAAGCACTTACCTGCAAAGAGGGAACAGCTGAGCATTGCGAAGGGTGACTGAATCATGAGTTGGTGCATGAACATTGTAGCTGTCCTTAATCCTGTCTAAGCTTGCACAAGGGTCCTGAACACAGATGGGCTGTAGTCGCAGTCCCTGAAAGCCTGAATGAACATGGGTGTTTGGTGACACCAGAAGAGAGTGGGAATCCCCGGTGCCACCGCTAGAGGGACCCCCGAGGCCCTGGGATGGGAGGCTGCTTGGAGGCAGAAGCGGGAGGTGGGATGAAGGCTGCTCAGAGCCCCAGCCCCTGGATGCGATGCGCTGGGCCCGGCAGCCCCCGCAGGGTCAGGGGGCCCCGATCTTCCTGGGGAGCGGGTACGATGGGACCTCGCCCGCAGGGGAACTCACCATGGAAGTGTACCTGGCCTCCCGCTCCAGCACC